CACATCGCATTCAAACGCCACTACGAATGTACAAATTGGAAGTAGAATGCGTGCCGCATTCCAAAAAGAGATTGGTCAATAACAAATTTTTATCCTTATCCTTATTATCTTGGGTCACCATTGGTTTTTGAAGGGTAGTTTGACCACTCACTTTGCTGGCTCCCCAGCTGATGAAGCATTCAGTAGAAAAACCGGCGTGAGACATACCAGAAATGCCCATTTCTCACACGGGGCAAAGCCCGAAAAAAGAAGAAGAAACTTAGCTGGCTTGATGCTAGTCGAATTAATCTTTCCCACAGCCCTCAAAGCGACTCGTCATATTAATGGAATTGGATTCGCGGAACAAAAAAAAGGAAAAGAAAAACATTGCCGCAGAACCGGAAGCTTCAAGTCATTTGTTGCAAGTCGTCTCGGAGATTCCGAAGATCAGATCGTCCAAGTCTCCAGGGATATCTAGGAGCTTCGGCTGCATTCCAAGAATCCCCAAAGATAGTTATCTACGCGAAATCGTTCCAATATTCGATCTCACCATTACACACCCAAATAGGAAAACATTTATCCGATTGAATGCCAGACTACCGGTTTTCTTTGACCGGAACAGAATTGTTCCCAGTGGGAACATTCCGAAAAGAATCAGTTATCAAATAAATCGCTCAAGCGTCTCCCCCTTGTTTGCATATGTTAATCGAAAGTAAACGAAACTCAAACAAAAGAAGAACGCTCAGACGGCTTGATGAATCTTGGGCGCTATCGCAGGATACGGGGGCATTGCAATGGCAGTGCCTTTGATACCGCGTGAAACATCTCTTTTCTTGGAAACCGCACTAAGCCTCAGGCGAGGAATGAGAGAATTGAGGGTGCGCCAGGATTTTCACTTTCCCCCGAGTTCCTGCCCCTCTTAGCTTACTACTGTAGGATGCCCCCATATCTTGCCATAGCGTGGGATCTTTTTTGAAATGTATGTATTACAGAAAATTTGTAGTTTGACATTTTTCTACAGGGGCCAAAATGCTATCGCATTTGGAATTCTATTGATCTCAAATTGCTTCCAACTCGACCCTTCCAACTCCAACAATCAA